GCAAGGCAGTCACATGAACCCCCTCCCCTCAGACTGCAGCTTAGGCCCCTCCTAGTTGGGAGGCCCCCGGGTACAGCTTGCCTGGGTTCTGGGTCAGGTCAAGCCTGCAAAGGGAGCGAGGGGGAGCCAGGAAGGAGTCCGGCAGCTCTGGTCCTGGTCAATCTTGCCCCTGTGTCTCTGGCTGTCCTGCGTGGTGATTTGGGACAGTGGGGGATGTGAACAAGCGTGCCCTTCTTCAGGTTAAAAAGACTTTCAAGACCGAGTTCCAACCTTTTGTGCACACAGTAAGCCAGGGCTGCAGCAGTGAGGCTCAGACATCGCGGCCCCTTTCTCCCTCTGAGCTGACATGATGTCAGGAGCGCTGGTCCTGGGCAGTTGTGGTGACACAGGAAGTCTGTGTGAAGCGCGGAGTGGAGGGACTGTTCCGGGGAAGCACCTCCATGGCCAGCGTGACTCAAGCGTCGTGGGCACTGGACACAGGGTGGGTGAAAACTGGAACTGCCTGGTGCATTTGAACTTGGCAATAAAAGAAGAGTTACCAGAAAGGCTGGGTGTAGTTCCTCAGTGCTAGGGTCAGGATTCATTCCTGGGGGGTGGGGGTCGAGGCGTGCTCAGCTGGTCCTCCAATCCGCCTCCAGCCCTGGGATCCCTTCAGAACTCGTGGCGGAGGGGGGGGGGGACGACTCCCTAACTGAACCTCGGTGGGATGGATACTGGTGAGCATGGTGGGTGCCAAGGACAGCAGGTGTCTGGAGAAGGGAAGTGAAGGCTTCCCGCAGAGAGAGGGAGTCGCGTGGTTCAGAGCCTCCGGGCCACCAGGCTGAGGCCTCCTGGAAGCTTCTCACTCGGGTCCTGGTGAGGTGCAGGAGAACTCAAGTTCGGCCCAAATGATACAACTGGGCCCTGTTGTGCCAGGGCCACGAGGGTGCCACCACAGATGGGCAGGCCTTCGGCCAGCTCCCCACTGGCCCACCCTTGAAGTCTAGCCTGGGGAAGCACCGGGATCCCTTCGTGGGGGGTGGAGCTTTATGCTACACTTGGCCTGGGCACCCAGGGCCCGTCCTTCCAGCAGCCCTGCCTATGGGTGAGAGGGCACCCTGTGTCTTGGTGACTAGAACAAAGGGTCTGCTGGAAGGATGCCTGGGGGGAAGGGAGGGGAGGGGAGGGACCTTGCGAGGACAGGAACAGGGCAAGCCCCCAAGAACTGTTGATCTATGACTCCCCGAAGGCAAGGCCGCGGGCTGGGGTGGGTATGGGTCGGGCAGGCACTTGCAAGGGGGAACAGTCTCGGTGCGGGTTCAGCAGCCTTCCTAGGGACCCAGGCCTGTGGTGGCTGAACCCTGGATTATTGGTCCTGAGCTCTAGAGTTACTGACAGTGGTCTATAGACAGGAATGGGTGTTGGAATCTTCTGGACTCCTTGTCCAAAGCCAGAACCTCAGCACCCCTACCACACCCTTAGACCTGGTCAGATACCCACCCACCCTCACACTCGATGATGACAAGCTGGAGCCTTTGCAAGAGCCAGGCCTTCTTCATAGGGCTCCCCACCCCAAGACATTCCCCTCGTGCCCACCCTCCAGGTTCAGACAGCTCCATCTCTACAGCATGGTTCGAGGGCACAGTGCATGTGGGCCCTGCCCCGCTCTTGGCGACCACAGGGGCAGCGGCAGCTGCTGCTGATGTCCACTGTCTGCCCTGTGGTCCTCACGGGCTCCCAGAGGGAGGGTGGTCCTGCTCACAGACTGGTCTCCAGTGGTGGCCCTCCAGGAGGCCACTTCCCAGCAGCTGCTGGAAACCCCCTGCCCTGTCTCCCCGTGGTTCGGGGGTGGGGGGAGGGGCGGAGCAGTGGGAAAAAACCTTCAATGTCCAGAGTGCTTTTCTCCAAAAGAAGACGGCTGAGTCACCGAGCTGGGACACATGGGGCTTCCCAGGAGCCCCCCAGCCCCTCCCAAACCAGGTAAGCCAGGCCCTGCCCCTGGGCTTTGGCTCCCAGCAGGAGCAGCTCTCCACCCAACCAGGGAGCACTGGGAAACAAGCACCCATGGCCATCCGCTAAAGGCAGCGTTGCAGTGTACACAAGACAAGCAGACCATACCACGAAAATCCTTTGCGACAGCTGGTGCTTCGGGAGTCCATGGTCAGGCCTTTCTTATGAGGCACCTCTGGGCGGTTCAAACCTCCAGTCTGGCAGTTTGCTGCACCATCCAGCAACTGCCCACCTAGGGGCTGACACCAGCCAACAAGACAGAAAATGACGGCAGACGGGAGCTGCGCCCCCACACATAAAGGCCACCACTGGACACACACAATGCAGTGACCAGTGCCTTCCCAACGAGGCTCCTCCCACCCACCACTTCCGTCCACAGTGCCCCATCGTCCATCCCCACCCTTCTTCCCAGGCCCCCCCAAACACACACACACTGTTGGGCCTCTGGGCACGTCGCATCCATGGGACCTTTGGCATCTGGCTTCTCTCCGTCCCCAGGATGTCACCCCTTCTATGGCTGAAGAGTACTTTTGTTGATCTGTTCACCTGTCGGTGGGCACTGCAGTCCTCCGACCTCTCAGCTTTTGTGAAAAGTCTTGCAGGGAATCCGTCTGTCCATTTCCCTTGACCCTCTCCACGCGTCTGGGGGTATAGACTCCGTCAGGAGAGACCGGTCCCCGGAGAAGGACGTCGTGCTCGGTAAAGCAGATGGGCAGCAGAAAAGCGGGAGGCCCTCGGCGAGGTGGACGGACACGGGCTGCAGCGATGGGCTCGGGCACAGGCGCAATCGGGAGGCTAGTGAGCTGGAATGACGCCGTGGCCCTACCGAACGAGCAGCACCCTTCGGGTGAGAAGGGGCTCAGTGACAGCGGGTTTGGCTTTTTTATTTCAGTGGTCGTTCTAATTACCCCCCAGCATGAGGGCCATTTCCGGTCCCTCCTGATAATACATTCAGAGTGGGTGCGGCACAGCCTGGCACGCCGTGCTCAGCTCTGGAAGCACTCTAGAGTGGAGGGCCGGGGAGAAAGAGGACGACCGTCCAGGGGATGGTGGACGCGGTGGCTGCAACAATGAGCTCCAACGCAGCAACCCTTGTGAGCACCCTGTTGTCCAAGGTCACGAGGAGCTGGTCTGGCAGGCACTAGCAGCAGCCTAATCTTCCTCACCAACTTCCTGAAGAGCAGCCAGCCTGCCTCCCGCGGCCCTGTTCTCTATCCCCACCAGCTCCTGCAGCTGCAGAGTCCGGGCACCTGAGCACTCCGGTCCCCAGCTCTGTCCCTCCAACGCCTTCGATGTGCTAGCTGGTTGACATGGTTCTGGTAGGACTTGGCCAATGACTGTGGCCATTGGTGTTATTAGATGCTTTCTATCTAGTTGGTTCTGACTCATCATGATTTATAGGCAACAGAAGGAAACACCACCAGGCCCTGCGTCATCCTCACGGCCACTGTCATGCTGGGCCATCGTTACAGCCACTGAGTCAGTTCATCCCCTGACAGTGTTCCTGTTTCTCACTGACTTTCTACTTTGGCAAGCAAGATGCCTTTTCCAGGAACTGGCCTCTCCCAATAACATGCCCAAAGAATGGGAGACGGATTCTTGCTTCCAAAGAGCACTCTGGCTGTGCTCTCCCCAAGACAGATGTGTGTCCTTCTGGCCGTCCAGGGTACTCTCCGTTTTCTTGGCTGGCACCATTCAAAGGCATCCAGGCTTCTGGTCGCCTGTCGTTGACTCAGTGGTGTGTGCCTATAGACCCAGCTACTCCGGAGACAGGCTGGCGAGCCCCTTTGCGTACAGGAGTTCTGGGCTGTGGGTACAATGACGATCAGGTGTCCCCGATAAACTCGGCATCAATGTCGTGGCGAAGAATAGAAATAGGTGTTTCCCTCCATCCCATTCTCAAGGGGCCACCCTTGTTGGCACAGGGCCTGTTTGCTTCCTGTCTTTTGTCTGTGCACTTTAGCAGTTGAGAGCCATTGTCTATCCTGCTGTTGGCACTTGGCATCTACGTCAGAGTGTTTTCTGTATGACCGGCCACTGCTTAGCAGTCAGCACGCCCCACTGTGCTGGCGTTCATGTTGCTGTGGTGCAGAGCCAGGACAGGCAGGCTTTCTGATGCCCGCAGGGCCACTTCCTCGTCATTGACAGGTTTCACCGGAGCTTCCAGACTCAGCTGGGCCAGAGAGAAAGGCCTGGTGATCTATTTCTGAGCACCCAGGGGAGCACCAGAAGAACTAGATGATGCCCAGCCTGCACTACCAGCTGCCCTAAGAAAGGCCACATTGGAAGGGCCTGATAGCGAAGGAGAAAAAAAAATGTGCAAAATTCAAAGCCATCAAAGGAATCAGGTTTACTGGTCAGATAGAGACAGGTGGGACACCCCCCCGCCACTCTCACGCCCACTCCTACCCAAGATGATGGCCTTCAGCCCCCCTTTAGGTCTGGAACTGAACTCTCTGTGTAAGGTCAAAGGGGCAACATTTCCCCCAAGGACCACCTGCAGAGGGCCAGGAAAGGGGGACAGGAAGGGCCCGGAGGAAGCGGGATGTGTGATGGGACATGGAGGCGCTGGCAGGAGACCAGGTGAATCAGAATGTGTGTGATTGTAGAGTGTAAAGCTGCGACCTCCTCTGTAAGCAGGCCCCTCATTCACAACAAACTGTAAGAAGAAAGAACACCCCGTGGGTCCCCAGTGCCCCCGGTGCTGTGTCATCGGGAGGACCCGGTAGCTCAGGCAGGCCCTCGGTGGGAGGGACAGCCAGCATGGCCAGAACGCGTGAGGCTTGCAGTGCTG